TCTCATGTTGAAATGTGATTCCTAATGTTGGAGGTGGAGCCTGGTGGGAGGTAATTGTATCGCTGGGGCCCCGGGGAACCCGGGGTGGGGGGGGGGGGGATGGATCTCTCACAAATGGGTTAGTTCCACTCCCTTGGTGATAAATGAGTTCTCGCTTAGTTAGATCATTCAAAATCTGGTTGTTTAAAACGGTCTGGGACCTCTCCCTTCTATTAATCTCTCTCTCTCTTGCTCCTGCTCCTGCCATGTGACATACTGGCTTCCCTTCACCTTCCGTTATAATTGGAAGCTTCCTGAGGCCTTCACCAGAAGCAAATGCTGGCACCACACTTGGGGTACAGCCTGCAGAACCATGAGCCAATCAAACCTCTTTTTGAAAAAATAAATTACCCAGTCTCAAGCATTTCTTTATAGCAATGCAATGCAAGAATAGCCTAATAAAGGCCTCAACACCATTTCAGAAGTCATCCGAGAGCCCCTCCCAGTACAGGCCCAGAGGAATTAATGGTTTCGTAGACCAGGCCCAGCATCCCGCGGCCCTGCACATCCTCAGGCCACAGCTTCCCTCATCCTTGACACTCCAGCTCCTTCCTTGGCACAAAGGGGCCCAGGTACAGCTTGGGCCACCAGTCCTGAGGGCACAAGCCTTAAGCCTTGGTGGCTTCCACATGGTGTTAAGTCTGCAGATGCTCCAAATGCAAGTGTGAAGAAGGCTTGACAGCTTCCACCTAGATTTCAGAGGATGTATGGAAAAGCCTGGGTACCCAGGAAGAAATCTGCCACAGGGGCAGAGCCCCCCAAAGAGAAATTCTACTAGGGTGGTGCCAAGGGGAAATGTGGCTTTGGAGCCCACACACAGAGTTGCTACCAGGGCACTGCCTAGTAGAGCTGTGGGAAGGGGGCTACTGCCTCCAGACCCCAGAATGGTAGCTTCATGCAGCTTACGCCCTCTGCCTGGAAAAGCTGCAAGCACTCAGTTCCAACCCATGAAAGCAGACATGAGGGCTGCCCAAGACTTTGGGATCCCATCCCTTGCACCAGAATGCAGCACATGGAGTCAAGAATTATGTTGGAGCTTTAATATGTAATGCCTTCCCTGCTGGGTTTCAGACGTGTATGGGGCCTATTACCCCTTTATTTTGGTCAATTTCTCTCTCTTGGAATGGGAATGTATACTCGATGCCTGTACGCCCATTATGTCTTGGGAGTCAGCAACTTGTTTTTGATCTCACAGGTTCCTAGGCAGAAGGAGCTCATCTCCAGATGAGACTTTGGACTTTGAGATATGGGACTTTTGAGTTAATCCTGGAATGAGTTAAGGCTTTGGGGGACTACTGTGAAGGTATGAATATATATTGAAATGTGAGAAGGACCTGAGATTTGTGGGACCAGGAGTGAAAGGATATGGTTTGGATGTTAGTACCCTCCAAATCTTGTGTTGAAATGTGATTCCCAGAGTTGGAGGTGGGACCTGGTGGGAGGCGACTTGCCCATGGGGGCGGATCTCTCACAAATGGTTTAGCTCTATCCCTTTGGTGATAAGTGAGCTCTTGCTCAGTTAGCTCACATGAGATCTGGTTGTTTAAAAGAGTCTGGGACCTCCCCCTTCTCTCTGCCTTGCTCCCACTCTTGTCATGTGACATGCTGGCTCCCCTTCATCTTCTGCCATGATTGGAAACTTCCTGAGGCCTTCATCAGAAACAGATGTTGGCATCATGCTTCCTGTACAGCCTGCAGAACTGTGAGCCAAAGAAACCTCTTTTCTTTATAAATTACCCAACCTCGGGTATTGCTTTACAGTGATGCAAAAACAGCCTAATACAGATGCTCCTAAGAGCCCTGCTGGGGGCCCAGCCCCCAGTAACCCACAAGGAACCTTTCCTAGACAGGCTCCTATACCACCTGCCATTCTCACCTAGCTCTGACCATCCACAACCCTTGGGGACACAGGGAATCCAACCTTTCTCCTCTGAACTCTAGGATAGAGGTGTGTGTGTATGTGTGTGTGTGTTGGGTTGGGGGCTACCTGGGGCTCCACCTCTCTCATAGTGGTTAGAGGTAAGAAATAAGGGGGAAGAAGAGGGACTTGGAAAGAGGAGAAGAGGGAAACGGAAGAGAGGAAGAGGGAGAGGAGACAAGTCTTGGTGAGGGAGCAGTGCTTTCTCCTTCCAAAACAATTGTGGATGCACACAGAGCTCCAACATGCCATCTGCAAAGAGGTTTCTGGTTGATACCTAAAGGAATGGAGGTGCCTGGCTCATACTGATGGGGAGTAACATAGCATTTCAGGGATGTTCTCTCACCAAGGAACTGTGCCCACTTTCTGGTTGGTATGATGCCTGAGGCAGATTTCAAGCATCTACAAGATGAGTTTTCTCAAGAAAAGGAGGCACTGGCCCAGCTCTCAACAAACCTTCAAGGTGTCATGTTCTATAGTATCCTGGTCATGCTTGAGGAGAGAGGAGCTCTCTTCATGGGCAGTGAAGGGTTTCACAGCTGCCTAGGGAGATCAAAGCTGTAAAGAGACAGGTTTGGGAGATATGACCACCAAGACATATGGGGGAGGAGGAATGAGCAAGATGCCAGAGCAATGAGAAGGACAGGGGACGCTGGCCCAAGGCATAATCAGGGCCAGGGAGTGCAGCCCCACATAAGGAGGCTGCTTGGAATTTCCTGGGGGAGATAGAGAGCCCTCACCCTCACCCCTTGGTCATCACCTATAGATACAGAAGATATAGGCAAATTATATGATTTATGGTATTACAATTATTACCAATAATACTTGCCTCCTGTAGTTAGAACCGGGTCCCTCAGATTCTTTGGATGGCCTTGGCAGTGCCATCCTAAATGAGCTGGGAGAGAACTCATGCAACCCATGGCTCAACCCAAGACCCTACCTCGTCTACCTCCTTGAAGCTGTAATGGGTGACCGTGATTTTGGGGACGGGTGGAAGAGTCACAAGATTGGCCCTCGACCTCATGAAAGGAATGGGTTATATGCCACCTCTCCAAAGCCCTTCCCATATTGTGATCTGTCAACCTCACATCACACCTCTCTCCAAGGTCAGGGTGTTCACTGGGATAACTCACCAGTAATGCAGACCGACCCTGAGGCCTGGAAAGTAACCGGCCATTGATCATGGAAGGTGTCCTTGGAGGTGGATGACTCCAGGCTCCAGCCTCAGAGTCCCAGCCTCTGGGCCGTTTTATTCAGCATCCTGGAGGCCCTCCCAAGAGCAGAGAGGGGAAGGATTCCCTCCTCAGGAGTCTTCGGTTCCTTGAGAGCGCTAGCCTGCCTTGCCTGGGGGAGACAAAGTGACTCGGAGCCTAGGCAAGCCCTCTCGCTGTGAGAGCAGGGTCACAGGTGTGACAGCCACCTTTCACTTAGGTAGCTTTGCTGTCCCCAACACTTGCATTCCCAGTCACCTCTCTCTTCCCAGGAGCCAGTCTTTCCCTCCCCACATCCCATCTCCCGTATCTCTAATGTCCCACCCAAGCAGATGAGACGGAAAGATCGACTAAGGCTTGAGCTCAAAGCCTATGAGGTGGAAAAGGACACTTCAGCTTCCTCCTGCTCCCCAGGAGATCGTGTCTCATTCATATCTTCTGTTTTCACCTATATTGAAAATGTTCTGGGGTGGTTTTGTTTGCTTTTTAAACCATAATAATTAGCTGTGGGTGTTTCACATTTATTTTTTCTTTCTACCCGGGGGAAAAGAAAAAAAAAACAGAATGGTACATTCCAGAAGTTTCCCATGTCTCTAGTGGGGCACAGAAGTGGCCAGGGAGAACGCTGCTTTCAAGGGAAGATCGGGGTCATGCCCTAGGCAGCACACACTTCTCCCCTCCCCTGTTCTACAAGCTGAAGGTTTTTTGTGTCGTCTTTCAGAACTGACTCACTCCTGTTCCTAGCGCCTCTACAGCAGTCAGTGATGAGCGACAGGAGAGTTTGCCAAGCTGAGAAGCACAGATTCATCCTCTCTCGCTTGCCATCTATGTCCTTGCCTTTTGGTAACTTCTGCTACTATTAAAAAAAATTGCTATTTAACATCCCTTGTATATTCTTATGTTCCCTTTCTCCCTTAAGGCAGTTATCTTTTGTAACCAAATAATCCTCAATTAAGAAAAATAATACAACCTCATCTCCTACTGAATATCTGGATATAAGATCCAGGAAGTCTCACTTTCACCTTTGAAAAAGGAGAGAGGGGAAGAAGAGAATTCGCATTTACTAAGTATCTACCATGTGCTAAATTACATGCTGGACACTTTCACACAGCAATACATTTAATCTTCCATCCAGTTAAGAGATAGAATCCCCATCCTACAAATGAGGACGCCTGGACTCACAGGGGTCAGTAACTTTCCAAAGATCATAAAACTGGTAAGAGTCAGAGCTGGGATTCAAACCAATGTTTATCTCATCCCAAAGTCACTACTATACTATACTGTCTCTCCAGGGAGACAGAGGTTGGGGAAGAGAAAGAGACAGAGAGAGAAACTGATTCAGCACCAGGGATAGGGGACCCTCACTCAAAGTTACTTGAAAGTCTTGGCATGGCCACTCATGGTGGCTCCGCCTGTAATCCCAGCACTTTGGGAGGTCGAGAGGGGTGGATCACCTGAGGTCAGGAGTTCAAGACCCTCCTGGGCAACATGGTGAAACTCCGTCTCTACAAAAACACAAAAATTAACTGGGCGTGATGGTGGGCACCTGTAATCCCAGCTACTCAGGAGGCTGAGGCAGGAGAATTGCTTGGACCTGGAGGCAGAGGTTGCAGGGAGCCAAGGTTGTACTCCAGCCTGGGCTAGAGTGAGACTCTATCTCCCCGCAGCTTTGGCCTACCCAAACCTTTCCCATTCATTATCTCATTACATCCTCATGCTACACATATGAAATAGATAGGACAAGTATCATCCTTGGCCAGACCTCAAAGTACATAGAGGTCAAGGGACCTGATTGGGATCGCACAGCATTCAGAGACAGAGCTGGTACTTACATCTGAGGCCAGAACTGCTTCCAGTTAACCATGGTCTTGAGTGGAATCCTCGACTTTGCATGGAGAACACAAGAAGAAAAAGTCAGGAGTTCACAGGAGTTGTGTCATCTATTTTTAGAAGGTAATTAGAGATCACCTAGCCTACTCCTTTGCTTCTCTGAAGCTCAGAGAAGTGAGGTAGCTGCAGTGCCTTCCATGTCACCAGAGGGGTTGGTGACTGAGCTGGGCAAGGAAGCCTGTCCCAGGCTCCCACAGCAGAGTCAGAGACTAGTGATCCCAGGAATGCGTACTCAGGCCTTTCCTCCCACCGTCCCACCCATTATTGGATAGAATAACTTTCCAAAGGTCGTGAAGCTGGTGAGAAACAGAGCTGCGGTTCAAACTAAGGCTTCTCTGACTCTGGCTCTGCTGTGCTTAAAGAGCAGTAGATTGAAAATCCCAGCTGTAGCCCCAGCAACACTTGAGGAGGAAAGGTAGAGGCCAGGCCTACATGGTGCCCTGGCTCAGTGGCCAGGGGAGGAAGCGGTCAGTGGTCAAGGAACACCAACCACCAGCTCAAGGCAGGACATCCTCTTCTTATGAATCTTCCTCGGGTCCCCCAGACACTGCACAAGAGAAGCTCCAGCCAAACACACACCTTTATTCCTAAACAAAGGCAGCACTGCCTGCTCCTCCATCTCTCTATGTAGATCTCCCACTAAGGGCGTCACGGAGCCCAACCTGGTTATGAACCTGGTTATGAACATCCATGCTACAGCAAAGACAGATTCATCTGCTCAGGCTGCCATTGCAAAATACCATAGACTTAGTGGCTTACACAATGGAAATTTCTCTTTCACAGTTCTGGAAGCTGGAAGTCCTAGATCAATGTACCAACATGGTCAGGTTTTGGTGAGGGCTCTTGTCGTAGCTTGTAGAAGTCCACCTTCTCACTGTGTCCTCTGGTGGAGACAGTGAGAGCTCTGGAGACAAGCTCTCTGGAGTCCATTCCTATAAAGGCACTAATCCCATCATGAGAGCCCCGCCCTCATGACGTAATCTAACTCCAGTTACCTCCCAAAGACCGCATTTCCAAATACTACTGCAAGGGATTCAGTGTGAATTTGGAGGAGACACATACATTCAGACCACAACAAAGGGGAAACCAAATGCAAGCCCTGTGCTGTCTGTTGTGAGGCTGGTAGCTGGAAACCCAGATCTTTTTCGTTCATTTTTCCTTTTTTTTTTTTTTTTTTTTTTGAGACAGAGTCTCACTCTGTCACCCAGGCTGGAGGGCAGTGGTGCGATCTCGGCTCACTGCAACCTCCACCTCCCCGGTTTAAGCGATTCTCCTGCCTCAGCCTCCCGAGTAGCTGGGATTACAGGCACGCACCACCACGCCCAGCTAATTTTCGTATTTTTTAGTAGAGACAGGGTTTCACCATGTTGGCCAGGTTGGTCTCGAACTTCTGACCTCAAGTGATCCACCCACCTCGGCCTCCCAAAGTGTTGGGATTACAGGCGTAAGCCACTGCACCAGCCCGCAACCCAGATGTTAAAGTTGGAGAGAACTGGAGAACAAATGCAAGGCGCAGGAATGGCATGAGAACTGGCAGTCCTCATCGACGCAGGACCCAGCCTATTGAAACCCGGCACTGCAGGTCACTCTCGTCAGCCGCATTAGCAGTGGCCACAAGCGCAAACAGCCACCCTGGAGCTGTCCTTGCCAGACGCCTCTGCCCCCACCCGTGCTCTGCCAACTCACCATCGGCTCCTCCCGGTTGTAGGTTATTTCTTCCTGCTCTGTTAACTCGGACTACACAGGAAGGCTCAGGCGGAAACTGTTTCTCAATGTGTAACCGCAGGGCGGCAGCAGAGAGCAGCAATAAAGATGCACTATTTTCTCAGCGACTTTGAAACTGGATTTTACTGATGGTGGCTTTTTGTTCATTTGTTTTTAAGTATAGCACAGAGGTTAAGACTGCAAACTTCATAGCTAGACTCCCTGGGTGCAGACCCTAGCGCTGTCACTTACCAGTTGTGTCAGGGGCAAGTCATTGAACCTGTGCTTCAAATTCCTATTGTTAAAATAGGGATAATCACGTTGTTGTAAATCCGCTGAGACATATGAAGCACCTGGCTGGCGCTTCGCACTCAGAAAGCGGGAGCTTGTGTTCGTATACAGAACTGTTCCAGGATGGCCTCCAGGGAACTTTACACTCAGGTTCCCCAAGCCTCTCCCATCCAAACAGGCCTGGTCCGAGAGTCCCTAGGATGGGCTCAGATCGGCCCCGCGGGTGCAGTTACTTTGGCTCAGCCGGCGCGTCTTTATGGAACTAACAGCAGGAAAAGCACCTCTTCAAGCAGAAGATAATCTGGGCCTGAGGGGTCACACGGAGGGACTCTGGGTCAATTAAGGCGGTCGGAGCTGGGGGACAGGGTTTGGAAAGAACCGAATCCCCTCCACTCTCAGGCTGACCCCAAGCCACCTCTGTCCTGGTTCTCGAAGTGCAGCAGCACCAGCCTCCCAGAGGGGTAGGGGGAACTTGTTAGACCTGCACCTTCTGGGGCTCCATCCTGGACCTGCTCAGAAACTCTGGGGGCGAGCCCTCCTGGTGATTCTGATGCAGCTAACGTTTGACAGGCACTGCAGTAAATAGATGGAGACTCCTGATTTTGGCTGGGAAATGGTCAGGTGTCCTCCTATAGCCCTTAATTTTTAGCAACAAAAATATTAGGATGCACAGGACACAGTACTTCACAGCCCGTAAGCTCAGCACCCTGGGAGGCCGAGGCGGGCAGATTGCTTGAGCTCAGGAGTTCAAGACCAGCCTGGGCAACATGGTAAAACCCTGTTGTATTAGTTCGTTTTCATACTGTAACAAATAACTGCCCAAGACTGGGTAATTTATAAAGGAAAGCGGTTAAATTGACTCAGTTCAGCATGGCTGGGGAGGCCTCAGGAAACTTACAATTATGGTAGAAGGTGAAAGAGAAACAAGGCACCATCTTCACCAGACGACAGAAAGGAGAAGTGCAGAGAGAAGGTGGAGAAGAGCCCCCTATAAAACCATCAGCTCTCGTGACAACTCACTATCGCGAGAACAGCATGTGGGAAACTGCCCCCATGATTCAATTACCTCCACCTGGTCTCTCCGTTGTCACGTGGGGATTACGGGAATTATAATTCAAGATGAGATATGGGTGGGGACACAAAGCCTAACCGTATTACCCATCTCTACAAAATAGTTAAAACTTAGCCAGGCATGGTGGTCCTGCCACCCAAGAGGCTTTTAAATTTTTTTTATTTAAAAATTAGCTGGGTGCACGTGTGGTCCCAGCTACTCGAGAGGTTGAGATGTGAGGATCACCTGAGCTCAGCAGGTCAAGGCTGCAGTGAGCCGTGATTGCGCCACTGCACTCTGGCCTGGGTACAGAGTGAGACCCTGTCTGTCTGTCTGCCTCTCTCTCTCTCTCTCTTGCTTTTATATATATATAAAGAGAAAGAGAGAGATATCAGGATACTTGATACACAAAGGGCAAGAGGCAGGTAGGGAGAGGAAGGTCAGGTGCCAAAATAATGGAATACCTGGATCTTCCAAAATTCCTGGTGAGTTGAGGACAGAAAATTTCAAATTAGAAGCGTATAGAAGAAAATTGGGGCATCCATTACTAGAATACACAAAAGCACAACAATTATTATACAAGACAAGAAGTGTTTCATATGAGATGGTCACAGTCACTTCAGCCTGGGGCAACCAGTGAAGACACAAGCCTTTTCTGTTCCTATACTACTTGATATTTCGATAGCTTTTCTTTCTCTTTGTTCTTCAGGGGTCAGCAGGATAATGCAATCAGAATAGCACATGGTTTATATCTGTGTTGTCCAGTTCAATAGCAATTAGCCCATGTGGCTATTAATCACTTGCAGTGTACCTATCCCAAATTCAGATGTGCTGAAAGACTAAACTACATACCAGATTTTGAAGGTTTAGTATGAGAAAAAATAATGTAAAAGACATCATTAATATTTTTATGTTGATGATGTGGTGAAATGTTTTTAATATGTTGGATTAAATAAAATATTATATATTACATTAATTTTATTTGCTTTTACTTAAATGTAGCTACTAGAAAAATTTAATTGTGTATGTGGCTTATATTATATTTTTATTGGGTAGAACTGATTTAGAGTAAAGGAAAATAAGAAAAGAATTCACACCCTAGTACTGCTATGTGTCCTTAGTCAAGTCTCTCAACCTCTCTGTTCCTCTGTAAAATTAAGATAACCTTCAATATATTTTACTCATCTACTTCAGGAACAGAATTATCATGACATTGGAATGCAATTGTGGGTGTGAAAATAATTATGAAGTGTAAAGAATGATTCAAATTTTAATTAGTATCAGTCAGTAACAGGCCATGTGTTTATTTCCACTCCTCCCTTCCACCCACCAGTTGATGACATTATTCTGGAGCATTCTCTCCCTGCCTCATTCATCTCAAAAGAAATGACATGGCACATGAAGATACCCCAGGCCTCGGCAGTGAGACTCAGGAGAAGGCATTCAGCAGCTACCCCCGAATACCCTGCTTCTCTGGCTCATGGACCTTTAGGTGCAAACTCTGGCAGCCTCCCCAGCCCCCACGTTCTCTGCCCTGCTCCCTCCTTCCCCTGAGACAATGAACAGAGTCCATTTTTTTACCTAAATTGGGTGGGAAGGGAATGCGAAAATCAGGAAATACAGAGGATTTTTTAAAAGACACTATCTCAGTATTCTTTTTTTTTTTTTTCTTCAGAAAAATGTGTATAAAGATAAATTCACTGGGTTGATTAGTGTCACCCCCACAAAAATCTGTCTATCAGGGATCTCAGAATGTGGCCTTTTTTGGAAATAGGGTCTTTGCAGATATAATTAAACTAAAATGAGGTCTGACAAAGAGTTTCTCCTTAACCAAACTTTAGTCAGGCTCCTCTTAATTGTCTTCCCAACCAGGCTTTGATTTTGGACTTCCATATCTGTCCTGCATTATCCAAGTTTTATGAAGAATCCTACTAAGTCAGTTTAGCCAGAACCCCCCACCCTCAACATCTGGGCACCCTCAATGTCTGACCAAATTCCTCATTGCCCACCACACCCCAGGTGATGTGTGATCACTTTGGCCTGCCCTCAGCAAGAATCCTCTTGAGTCCGTGTGTTAGTCTGCTTTCACATTGCCGATAAAGACATACCTGAGACTGGGAAGAAAAAGAAGTTTAATTGGACTTACGTTCCACATTACTGGGGAGGCCTCAGACTCATGGTGGGAGGTAAAAGGCACTTCTTACATGGTGGTGGCAAGACAAAATGAGGAAGATAAGTGGAAACCCCTGATAAAACCATCAGATCTCATGAGACTTATTCACTTCCCTGAGAACACTTTGAGGGGAACCACCCCCAGGGTTCGAATTATCTCCCACCAGGTCCCTCCCCAACACGTGGGAATTATGGGAGTACAATTCAAGATGAGATTTGGGTGGGGACACAGAGCCAAACCATATCATTCTGCCCCTGGCCCCTCCAAATCTCATGTTCTCACATTTCAAAACCAGTCATGCCTTCCCAACAGTCCCCCAAAGTCTTAACTCATTTCAGCATTAACCCCAAAGTCCACAGTCCAAAGTCTCATCTGAGACAAGGCAAGTCCCTTCCACCTATGATCCTGTAAAATCAAAAGCAAGCTAGTTACTTCCTCGATACAATGGGGATACAGGTATTGAGTAAATACAGCCATTCCAAATGGGAGAAATTGGCCAAAATGAAGGGGTTACAGGGCCCATGCAAGTCCAAAATCCAGCAGGGCAGTCAAATTTTGAAGCTCCAAAATGATCTCCTTTGACTCCAGGTCTCACAACAGGTCAGCTGATGCAAGAGGTGGGTTCCCATGACCTTGAGCAGCTCTGCTTCTGTGACTTTGCAGGGTACAGCCTCCCTCCTGGCTGCTTTCATGGGCTGGTCAGTTGAGTGTCTGCAGCTTTTCCAGGCGCACAGTGCAAGCTGTCAGTGGATCTAACATTCTGGGGTCTGGAGGACAATGGCCCTCTTCTCACAGCTCCACTAGGCAATGCCCAAGTAGAGACTCTGTGTGTGGGCTCTAACCCCACAATTGCCTTCTGCACTGCCCTAGCAGTTCTCCATGAGCGTCCCACATCTGCAGCAAACTTCTCCCTGGGCATCCAGGCATTTATGTACATCTTCTGAAATTTAGGTAGAGGTTCCCAAACCCCAGTTCTTGACTTCTGTTCACTCACAGGCTCAACACCACGTGGAATCTGCCAAGGGTTGGGGCTTGCATCCTCTGAAGCCATGACGTGAGCTCTACGTTGGCCCCTTTCAGCCACAGCTGGAGCTGCTGGGATTCAGGGCACCAAGTCCCTAGGCTGCACAAAGCAAGGCCCAGCCCATGAAATCATTTTGTCCTAGGCCCCTGGGAAGACATCCAACATGCCCTGGAGACATTTTCCCTATTGTCTTGGGGATTAACATTTGACTCCTTGTTACTTATGCAAATTTCTGCAACCAGCTTGAATTTCACCTCAGAAGATGGGTTTTTCTTTTCTATCACATTGTCAAATTTTCTAAACTTTTATGCTTTGTTTCCCTTATAAAACTGAATGCATTTAACAGCACCCAAGTCACCTCTTGAATGCTTTGCTGCTTAGAAATTTCTTCCTCCAGATACCCTAAATCATCTCTCTCAAGTTCAAAGTTCCACAAATCTCTAGGGCAGGGGCAAAATGCTGCCAGTCTCTTTGCTAAAACATAACAAAAGTCACCTTTGTTC